CCCCTCCCCCCCCCCCGCTTTTGCACGGCCAACGTTTGGTGGCAAAACTGCAGTGCAGGGCATCCTGGGAGTGGTTATGCAAATTAGCTCCTTTGGGGGCTGCCACTGACCCACAATGCTTCACACTGCAGCGGGTTCCCCTCCCCCTGCCTGGGGATACCCAGTGCCCCCAGGACAGGTGTGGGGGGGTTACAGCCCCCTCCCCTGCCCCACATTACAGGGGCACCTGCTGGGGATCCCAGGGCACCTCCTCCAGCCCTTGCCTGGCCCTCTCTGCCCAGCGCCCGTGCCAGGCGTGATGCCCAGCGAGGGGCACCACAAACCCCTGCCTAGCAGGGCTCCCGATCTTCCGAGCCCGGGTGCCAAGGAACAGTCCCACCAGTTTAGCTCGGGTTCCAGCCGACCTAGCAGCACCCGTGTAACCCCCTGGCGCCCTCAAACCGGATTCACCCGCTGCCTGAAACCGGTTTGGTTTAGTGGGGTAATTTCCGGAAGTGTCGCTCTGCTAGGGCCCCTCTATTTCTCCGGCCCCCTCCTGTGCAGGAGCTGTGCACCGCTACAGCATTCACCCTCCCAGCCTATTGGCCCCTTGAGATGCTAAGTGACAGGAGCACCCGTGTAACCCCCTGGCGCCCTCAAACCGGATTCACCCGCTGCCTGAAACCGGTTTGGTTTAGTGGGGTAATTTCCGGAAGTGTCGCTCTGCTAGGGCCCCTCTATTTCTCCGGCCCCCTCCTGTGCAGGAGCTGTGCACCGCTACAGCATTCACCCTCCCAGCCTATTGGCCCCTTGAGATGCTAAGTGACAGGCCCAAGGCCACACGCAAGGTCTGTGTCAGAGCAGGGACCTGGCTCACTTCGCAGGCTAGTGCCCTAACCATTAGGGGCTGCTCCCCCAGCCGGGCAGGCGCCCGGGGCCCTTACCTCACTTTCCGGTAGTCATTTAGCTTCTTGTTGATAAGTGCTTGGCTTGCAAACCCGGGGTCCTGGAGCAGCACAAAGACAAGAGGGGGGGAGCGTCAGCCTCGCGTCTGCCGCCAGAGCCCAAGCAAGCGCCGTCTCGTCCGTCGTCGTGTCGTCGTTTCTCCTTCGGATGGGCCCCTCCCTGCCCCACGGCCCCGCAGCCTGGCCAGACAGGCCACACACAGGTTCCCCGCCAGGGCAGAGAGACCCCAGTACCGAAACCTCAGCGCATTGGACACCGCCAGCCCCCTGGAGCCAGGCCCTAGATCCGAGCCCAGCTCAGGACGGGGGTGGGAGCTGCCCTACACTCCTGCCCGGCAGTGCCCAGCGCAGCACGAGGAGCCCCCCCCCGCCGATGGCACCTCGCTCGTCCCTGGCTTGGGGGCCCAGAGATCCGGCTCTCCAAAGGGGGCTGGTGAGACGTGGGGTGACAAAGCTGCGCCCCACATTGCTCTGGTCCTGGGCTCCTGGACCATGCAGCATTGTGCCCTGCAAGCCAACCCCCTCCGGCTGCCATCAGCCGCCTGCGTGCCCACCTCATGCCCCACGGCTGGCACCCGCTCCCGGGG